CATGCGATGCGATGCGTTACGATAACATGTGTGGCGTAAACTGTGAGACAAGATTTCGTCCTTTTTTGAAATTAAAAATGCGTAAACAGCTGAACACAATGCACGCATCAAAATCATATGGTGATTGAAAATTCATCATATGGTTTTATTGTGCTAACGAAAACATTTTTGCAGGCATCTACGCGCAAAGTTGCAGCAATGCGAACGCACCACACATATGTTCGCTTATACGTATTTATGTCATATTTTTTCATTCGAATGAAGGATGCACAATGCTTGTGCTTGCGCTGCTTTCAGCTCTTTACTCAGGCGAGTAGTAAGTAGTAAATATTGTACACCATGTAACTTCTTCCCTGCGTTGTTTATGACCTCCATAGCAGATCATGCTACTACTAGATAGAATAAATCTAAATAGCGATATCGACGTAATTACATGATATGAAAACGTGGCCTTAAAATCAAGTGCATCCTCTTTTTCGTCATGAGATTGAAGGCATCAAAACCGTGAAATTTGGAGATCGGGATTTCTGCATATTATATTTCATTAATTTGTTCCAAAGCCGTTTCGAACAAATATATAACACGTACGTGTATTTACAATGAATGCAGTTATTTATATATGTACTCGCATATTCGTATATACGTTCATACGAACTACTAACACTAGTGTAGCTATACGAAAAAAATGTTCAAAGCAAATCTAAAGTTTTTCCCAATACAAACAAATCTCTCGCCATGAATATTATTCTCCTTTCCTTGTGTTCAGTTTTCGCCTAGCATTGCTTGTGTGCGTAGATGAGAGACTTTTCAGTTTTAATATGTATTTAGTCTTCTTCTTTTTACTCTTTTTCACGTGCACTTTTATCTTTCAATACAAATACAACTTGTATGTGTATGTGTATGTGTATGTGTTTCTATATATACAGATAGCTTTAGTTTAACACGGTGTCACGCGACTTGACAACCAAATTGCCACCTGTTGATGTATTTGAAATAGCGCTTTTAGTAGAAATGATGGGTATTCATAGATTTTAATGAAAATTAATTATTATTATTATTATTATTATTATTATTATTAATTTCGCCAGAGAAATAAATTCTAAGACTAAACTCTTAAAAGCACTAGCATCTAAGGCTATCGGCTTTTTATTAAAAACTCTACCGCACTTGAGATTCGAACCCACGACCATTGACTTGCTAGTCGTGATTCCTCCCCTTCGGCTACTCAGGCGGATAATGAAAATTAATGTTTTATGCACAATAACGTTGAAGATTTGATGCTTATAACAATAAGTTCCATTTTTTCCATTTTAGTCAGCAATCAGTCGCGTACAAAGTGCTTTAGGACCGTTTTCAAAAACAGCAAAAATCATGCCAAGCACTGTAAATGTAGTAAAGTTTATACATACATATTTTTGACGGGCGTAACATTCAGGGTTAATTTTATTTTCTCTTGACAAGTTCGTCGTCGCAAAATTTAACGTGGAAAAGGGAAATTTTACTATATATGTTTGCATTTGGTGACGTTACGCTGGCCAAAATGGGTAAAAAAAAAGTGTTATCTGCGTATCTAGTACACACTAATGTTTAATCTGATACAAATATTTATCAAGGCCATCTAAAAATTTAATGCCGTCAGATGATCGAATCGCGTATAAGTGGGTGGAAAAGTTGAAATGGAACCTGGCATAAGCTATTGTCTGAAGTTTGTTGGCCAAGCTTGCAATGTTTATTAAACAGCAGCAAGCATACGGTGAACAGGCTTGTTATTAGACTGTGAATACATCGAAACTTTATCCTAAAGGGAATATAGATATACCCGTCTTTCTTAATTGTGCATAAGAGATTAGCAGAAATACTATTTCCTCACATCGGGTGCGCTAGATAAATTTTGAAGATGTGATACGTCAATCCACAATTCCTATAAGTAATATGTACGTTCTTCATTAAAATCCGTACTATTTTTAGAAAGTGCCAACCTTCGACATTCGCCAAATAATTTGTTTATGAACTACAGTGATTTTAGTTGTTGTTGTGGCAGAGAGAGATAAAAGTTCACATTTTGCGAGTTGATTAAGTATTGGTAAAAAAAAAACACTATGCGTTACGGCTTGGAAAGCATCTCGTCTTCATTAAAATCGAAGGGTTTCTAATTGTCTTCTGATTCCAATTGGCACCGATGTTATTCTAAAAAAACCGATGATACTAAATTTAGTGCAAAAGAGACGACTACGTCAAATATGTACTGACAACTAGCCTCGATAATGGAAAAGCCAAGCTGCAAAGGGGAAACTGACGTGCCAAAGACATCAAGAGATATTCACTATTTGGCATGAGAAAGCTGCCTTTACTTCGCATGGGATCAAGTGCACCACGCCACAAGCCGATGACTACAAAACCAAAATATTCATGAAGCAAAATCCGAATAGTTGCTCATTGCAAATTCTAAAATGACGCTTCGGGCAAAGGAATTTGAATGAACTAATGAGCTCACTGCGGAAACTGAAGCTAATTTTCGAAAGTTTTTCTTTAAAAAGAACTTCAAATTTTTAGAGAGTCTTTGCACTTATTGAACAAAGTCAAATTTCGCAAAAGGACGACGTTCTCTCTTACTTAGTCAGAAGAATTATTGACCGATGTATTATTTCAGTAAAGATTGCATTCACTTAGCTACAACAACCATTTTGTTAATATCATTCGGTTTGCAACACTTGATGCCCGCCATGTACTCCGTAAGACGCATAGTACCCTGATAGTTCGAATGAATTTTTCATTATTAGCAGTTCCGTCTACCTGCCACGTATATTGTTCAACTAAAAGCCATCTTTCCATGTTAATTTGTCAGGGGATTTCCAAAACTAATAAAAATAATGCAATATGATATATTAAACGTTAATAATAAACGGATGGAGGGAGCGAAAAAGAAATAAAGAGAGAAGTACTTTTCACGTAGATAAATATTAGACTACCAGTTAAAACAGAGAACTTACGTCGCAGGTAATGTTTCAAGAATTACTTTTACATGTTCGCCTATTACTCTAATTGCTGTATCGTCGTTAACCTAACGTATTACCGAAATATTTTACTTCATCTCTATTGTTTCTTACGGAAATTGGAATTCGTCCAAATAACTTAATTATGTTTAAATAATGGAACTTTTCAACCAATTCCCTAAGATTCCATCAAATGCAATATATATTGCTTCCCTAATCAAATTTTTTCCTTATGATCTCGTATCTGTATCACATCCTTATTGTTCTCCTCTAGCCTACATTAAACTCAATATATGTAGAAACATTGTTTATTTAAATAATGTTTTTGTTTACAAAATTTCCTATCGGGTCTTTCATAAGAAAATATGCAACATATTAACTTACATATAACTCGTTTTTGCATACAATTGCAGCCACACATCTGCGTATGTGGGTAACATACACTGAGTAACATTTAAATGAAGGCAGCCAAATATTCGTTAATAAATTTTTAAAAAGCAATATTTTTATCATTTCCAGGTGACAGATGGATTTTAATATTGAAAACATGTATAAAAGCCTGTGGAATAAAGTTAGCATTAAGCGAATCCTTAGCTACTAAATCTCTAGGAAAAAAGAAACGCTCTTTTTTAACTTTTCCTTCGTCCAGTTCTAGCGACTATTAGCGAAACCGTTTCACTCGAGGGAAAAGATCAGATCTTTAATTTGTAAAGAGATGAAGGCAAATTGCCTTGGTTCCCTATATCGCGGCAGAAGAGTCGTCATCAAACCTAGTAGTGGGGACAATTTTTGCAAACTATTTTATTTATTATAAAACGTCTTAAGATATCAAATGAGGCTTAACTCCAATGCAATAATTTCCCGAACAACAGATGCTTGGTTTTATGGCAAACTAATTCAACGTCTTTTTGGTTAACGTAATGTTAGTACTAATACAACTCTGACATAGTTTAAAACCTATTAATTACTCTAAAAAGAAATCACCGGAATTTCTTGATTTTTCTTAGAAAGGGATGATTAAAGGAGGCATTGGTCAAAAAAAAGATAGTAGATTGCAGTGATAATGGGTCAATTGCTTCAAATAATTAATAGAAGATGAAATCTTATTTTTAGAATCGCTTCATGGTTATAATCAACTTGCAGCCATTCAAGCAAAATTGAAATTTAAAAGAAGCCTTTACTTTTAATGTACAAACCTACAAATTCCAACAGTTAAGGAATGAAGGTATAATTTTTTTTCTAAAAATATTGAAAAACCGTTCTTTGTCTTCAAGCGAACATCGGTCAGTGTAGGCGCATAAGTGTAAATGTTTCCAGTGCTGTGCACCATTTGCTTGTTGGTAATCCTTGACTATTTTGCTCTGCACAGCGAGAAGAAACTCGAAAGAAAAATAAAGCATAAAAAATTTAAAGTGAAAACTAGGTACAATAACAAAACACAAAATTTTGCATATGTACGAAACGAAAGAAGTGAACAAGCGAACAAACACTAAGGCCAACACTTATAAGAGAGCCACTATTATCTCACACAAATAAACCGATAGAGCATACATATGAGCTTCATTGTAGGCAACAATGACAACAACAACAACAAAAGAAGAAGAAGAAAAAAACAAAATAAATAAATAAACGGGAACAAAATATAAAAATAAAAAGTAAATGAAACAAAACGCAATCTTTCTGCTTTTCTACATTTTCACGTTCATGGTATCAAACATACACATACGATTGCAATGTTAAATCTGTTCACGCACATACCACGTACGTATGAATGTTTGTAAATATGAACACTGGTATTATTATTTGTGTGTGGGGTAAGTTTAAAACATAAAAACAAATTTCTTTGCAATGCCCAACGAAAGATATGCTTGTGTGCAAGCAAATGATGTTGAAACAAAAAGAAAAAAAAAAAAAAAAAAAAAAAACAAGGAAACCCATGCACACTTAGTTGCTTGTGCGCACGTAATTAGGTAAAGTTTTATATACATATGTCGTTACTTTACTAACCTTCAAATATAAGTATTTTTCGATTTTATCCTTTAAGCCGGGAGTTTTTAATACGTAAACACATTCGGGCATGGAATTTTTGCCCTTAGTATTGGCGGCACAAACACGGCACAAATTTTCTAAAGTTGTATGAATTTCCATCTTCCTTAATATTCGTCGCGGACTCTTGTATTATGGCGCAAAATTTCCTCAATTGTTTCTGCCTTGAATAGTAGTCGCGCGGTTGCTGTAGTGGTAGTAATAGAGGAAATATTTTTTTTTCGTTTAGAAATGTCAATGAAAGAATCTCCTATAAGTGACAGGCGATGAATTAAATAAACGCATAATCTCCTTGAGTAATTTATTATGGAAAAGCCAACGTTTAATTACACACACACTCAATAATTTTTCAATACGAAATTGCATTTAACGGGCGATTTTTTCGAGGCGGCCAAAAATCTAAAAAAATAGGAATTAACTACACACCAGCCGAAATGAAAACAACCAAATATTTTTGAAATATTCTCGCTTCTCTTTTTCCTTTTTTTCACTCATATATTTATGAAAGTTATTTCAATTACATACTGACATGAAAGCGTATTTTATATAAATATACAGACTGAGTTGCTATTATTCGTTGTTGTATTTGTTTGTTATTTTCACGTTTCTATCTCTCATTTGTTCATTGTTTCTTATTCCCGCTTACAGCGTATTCTTGATTACTTAACACACAACCGTTTATTTGAAGTTGATGCCTGTGTTGGTGAATTTTTTTTTACATTATGCTTGTAGAGAGATTTTAGTTTTGCTCGCTCGCTCGCTCGCTCTCTCTCTCTTTCTCTATTTCTTTCGTTCGCTCTCAATAGAAATGTGGATAGAAGAGTTTACAAGTTTTCGTATCGGGTTTTGTTCGCTCTCTGAGAAATTGCAGTCAGCTATTTTTACATTAGCTATGCATGTATTGCGATGAGAGTTAAAATTGAGCTGGTATTTGTTATTTTATTATTATTTTTTTCTTTTTTTGTTTTGCGTATTGTATTCGCGCACACAATTACGTTTAAAAATATATGTATATATGTTAGTTGTGTGTTTTACTGTGTTTATCTCTTCTTCTTTTTCTCTATTAGGTTTTTTGTTTTTTTTTTTTAAAACTGTTTTATTGCCTGCCTGAGAGCAGCTATTGTTGTTGCCGTTGTTGTTGTTGCTATTCGTTAAACCTCCGTTTTACTTTATGTAGCTGTCTAACTTGTGTGTCATCATCATTGCTACTGTACATGTTTAATAACTATATATGTAGTTGTTATTATTGCTGTTGACATTCATATAAATGCACTTTTGTGTTTGTATATATACATTAGATAGTATTCGTTGGCTGGCCTTTTAAAACACACAACGCCACCTTACGTTCAACATACACTTTAACTGTACTCTTGATACACACACTTGAAAAATTCTTTTTAATTGTACTTTTATATGTTAGCACATAATATTTTAATACAAAGTAAATTTATTTATTTTTATTTTTATTGTTTTTTTACTCACAAAATGTATGAATTTTAATTTTATTTATTTATTTATTTATTTTTTTCTACTTTGTAATATCTCTCTTTATAATGTTTAATATGTTTATCAATTATTGTTGCTTATATTGAAAACACACACTTGCAGCGCACTGAGATCAAACGTATACTGAGGCAGATTTTTAACAAAGCAGGCTAGTGTAGCCAGCTACTCGCATATTCATCTGACTTACCAACACACTCTCACTTACACAGGCCAACTTTCTTAAGCATATGTATGCGTAAATATGAATACATGTATACATGAATTTGTAACTAAATTTGTGTGTGCGCATTTGTGTATACAAATTCAGCCAATTTTTGTAATAGTATTAGTAAAAATCGTGATGAGTGGTTTTTTTACTTCTCATTGTGCATGCAATAGTAGTAGTTGTTATGTATGTAGTTTTCAAACTATTTTTCCTCTACACTCTATGCTGTTATTAAAAATTTTTTTACAAAATTTTTGAAATCTTTTCGCCCTGGAAATGGCTAACGAATGTCTTTTTGTACCGATTTCGATATTATTCCGTTTGTTTGTTTCAGGTTCCGGTTTTCATTCACTACGACGCGTTGTCGTTTCACGTTACATTTAGATTATCGCTCTTGCATACATGCACATATATATATTTTCTGCGCGCATACCTATTTACTGTCTGCTATATAGATGTTGTTGCTTTTGTTGTTGTTATTTGGTTTTCGTCTGTTTTTTTTTCTTTTTTTTTCATATTTGTTTTAAATTCTGTTTTATCACCATTATAATATATAGACGCGTATGCACATTTGCTTGTATATGTGTGCTGCTGTCACAACTTGTTGGTTTTCTTAGTTTAATCTGTATTAAACATGCTTTTGCTCGCTGTGTGTATAGGTTTTTGAACTTTTTGTTTTTCTTCGTTTTTTTTTTTTTTTTTTTTGTTAAATGCCTGCTTTTGCTTTCTCGTCACTCACACAACAACGTAAAATGTTTAAATATTACACACGTGTAAACATAAGCGCGTATGTGCACTTATTTATATACACTTGTGTGTAAGCGGAAAGTTTTTCTTTTGTTTCTTTTTGCTTTTTAGAGAGGCCCTCTTTTTTTTGTTTTCTTTCTACTCTCGCAATATATGCTTTGTACATACCTATTTATATATATATATATTTATATATACATTTATACATATATTTTTACATACATATTTATACATACATGTATATATATATTAATGTGTGCATTTAATATACGTATACTTATAATTGTGACCTGCATAACAAGATTGATCTTATACTTGTATATGTTTCTCTATCTACCTACCGTATACAGTGTAGATGGAAATGTATCCGTTGTGAATGCAATGGCCTAGCAGGAGTTTTGTGTTTTTCTCCATAATTGTGTTAAACTCATTTTGCATTAATACATTGAAGATTAGTCTTCAGTCAGTGCGTATGTGTGCGCATTTCGCTTAATTAGTAACAATCGTTCCGAATACGATGAGACGTTAAATTGCATTGTAGTGGTGGTATTGATTCCAGTTGTGAGTCGTCCTGCTTCTATCTATGATTCATAGGCATATGAATATATTTTTTGTAAAGTTATTTAAAGATGTTTACGATATACGTTTGCATGTATGTGTTAATTTTGCAATTGTTTACTGATACAGACATACAATGCATTGTAAGAAAGAAGAAATGATATATGATTTCTGAAGAAATCTTAACTGAACAAAATCATAGAATTTTTAGCCTCGAATGAAGTTATATATCAAGATTTAGCTAAGTAGGACTTACGTATGTTAGAAATCTTTACTTCACACTTGTCCTCAAAATGCGTCGCCTTTCCCTGATTGATTGCTGCATAACAAAACTTCGAAATGATCTTCTCGTTCCTTGGAGGTTACTTTAAACGAAGTGGCTCACCAAGTCGTAGTCTCATTAAGCTGACCACGTTGTACATTTGCATTTGCATGCATTTTAATTTTCATGGCTGTTTATCACTTATGTGTTTCAAATTGTTCAAAATTTTCGCTTCTGATTTGTTCCACTTCAAATTGCAACAGTGTAAAATGGAACAGTGTGTGTTAGAAAAAAGTCAATAAGTTACCGTTAGCAAAAATATAGTTGCGACTTTTATTGTGATTTTCAATTATTGTATATCTTATACTTACACTTACTTATTCCTAATCCTAATTCATGAATGCCGGCAGATACGGCTATGATTGCTATGTTTTGGTAAAGTTTAGTCTCATTTTTTCATAAACTACAATTAACGAGAAACGCTATCCAAACAAGGATTACATTTTATTCCCCTTTTCCATATAGATAACGTAGTATTCCGTTAGTTTAGTGTAGGATGACCATTGGCGAATCTATATGATTTTTATAGATATGAGCAAACTTTAAACGAAAAGTAACAAAATTTGAGGACATTTCCACCGTTGCTTCGCTTGAACGGTATGCTTTCCCCTTATAGGAACCTCACATATCTTCAACCACAGATGACGCGATGAGCCTCAGTAAACCGCTGTGATCTGTAAATTAATGTTCGGAATGGCATGAAATTTTGATGCATGTTGTGTAGAAAGTTGTAAAAATTATATGGATTCGTCAATAATGTGCGGCATATATATGTCAACCTGCAACCTTATTGACCGATATGTTATATAGACATTCCAGGACATTTGATTGCATGGAAGTAAGGAAAAATCTATTCCTTTATATTTTAAATCGTGTTTGTATCCAATGGACAGCATGTTTTCGATTATAATACGAACTGCAAATCACAAGTACACCTTCCGCCTAATGTATGCTAATTGTCACCTGATTTAAGTAAGTTGTTAATTGTTAAGCGAAAATTGAATCAGATTTATTTCATTGTCAAAGCTAGTTCGGCAATAGAGTTCGAGAAAATTTGAGCCTTAGTTAGTTTTCCCCCACCGAGTAGTTAGATGGTAAACGCGATTTTGATAGACGGAAGGAAATGTACTTGTGTTTTTTGCAAATATATAGTGTTGGAGTCTTCAATACTTTGCAAAAAAATCCTCTCTATTCCCACAGTATATATTCGTTGGAATAAATAAACCAATAAGGCTTTTCATTTATTATTTCATACAGCCTAGTATGACAGCATATGGAGTGCTTCCCAATTGTACAATAAAAAAAAAGGAAAACGAAAAAGTATAAATGAAAGTTGAATATAGTAGTGTGTAGCGCGTCTGCTCATATTACTTTCATCAATTGTTAAGAAGAAAAGAAAACGCAATCGTTCCAACGAGACCTTGTCGTTCGCTTTCAACAAGAAATCATGCAGCCCCAAACTTCAGAATGACTTAAACAAAACCTAACAAAAATATGTGAATAGCGTCAGATAAATAGGGTAAACTTCAGCGCCACACAGAACAATTCTGTCCCACTGGGGGATGTCAGTGTACAGGAATCGGCAACTCTTAATATTCTTGGCGTGAAAATAAAAATAATATTCGTTGGACACAAAATGTATTCCAAGGCGTACGGTTTTTGCAAGAAACACTTCATAGCTGAACGTTTTCACGGAAGCTTTCGTAGCTTTACGATCTTGTCTGCGAATTCTCGACCGGGTACAGCGAAGAGCTCAGAGACTTAGGGACCGCGAAATTGTGTTCAACACTCTCAAAACCGCTCAGTACCGGCATAGTGTCGACTGCGTTGTGCACACATGTAGATAAATCCAGGGCCAGTGCTCTGTAGAAATAAACAGGATTTGAGAACTACTCTGACTTTTCAGCGTTGCCACAGAACACACCAGTAAGATTTGTTCTTCGCAGTGCGTGTGCCTTCGGAACAACTCACTTGAAATAGACCCTTCCGCCGATTCAGATGTTTCCACTTCCAAGCCGAACGCGTACAAACAACTCTCTCATTTTCCTTCACCTTCTGTCTATAATCCTTCCTCCGACCATTAACGTACCTTCATGCAAAGGGGACATACTATTAGAAACTCGTCGATTGCAAAAAAAAAAAGTTAGTTTGATTTCAATATCCCATAAAGATAGGCTTTTAAAACTTGTCGATTGCATAAAAAAATGAGATGATTTCGGTAGAAGGCTTTTGAAACGCGTCGAATGTGTTTTGTTTGATATTTAGAAGAAATAGAAGTTTCGAAATTCCCTTCTAGCAAGCCTATAATACAGCAGGCAGCGAAATTTGAAACTAACCATATCATTACCATATATGAGATGTTTTAATAAGGCTATACTATGGACTTTGCAGCCGTCCTAGTCAAGTATCCTAAATACTCGGCAATAAGGTAAAGAATAAAGCAACAACTTTTTGTAACTGCATCTATTTTTCACTTCAGTTTCACTATTGAAAACCAACATATGATATGAAAATATGATATTGAAATATTAATTTTGGACCCTAGTCGGCCATGGGTACGAATGATTACTATCTTATAGAACATCTTCTTGAGAAAAATTGCACTTTTGCTAAATTTAATTTCTTTCATTTCGTGATCCTTACGTGCTTGTCAAATGAAAACAAATTGTATAAGTAAGACGCATTACACATCTTCTGAACCACAAGAATCCATTTTCAAGACTACGAAATCTACCGAAGTGGCGCGACTCTAAATACAGGCAAGGTTCAAACAAGGCACACTGTTCTAGTTCCCAAGTACTCCGGGCGATATCTTGCCAACACAGCAAAACGTTCGCCAAGCCAGCGAAAGAAAATAAGAGAAAGAAAATTACGTTTGCATGCAAAGAGTCAAAAAGGAATATTGCAGCAATCCCTCTCTGCAGCATTTTCTACATGAATTGAAAATTCGAATACTGAGCGTCTTATACAAACCTTTCGTAAGGAAGAAGCTTAAGGCGAAATAGAGCAAAAGCCCAAAGTAGAATCAGATAGTCTAGTAGACACAAATACAGTGACTCAGAACGGACATTACATTTGTCGAAAGCATCATAATACGCATACTACTTGCTTTGATTTG